AGTCAGTTTGGCTGCTGTAGGATCCCCAGTCTCTTTGTTATTGGGGTAGGAGTAATAAAGTGTTGTTATCCTGGTTATGGAATCAAGGACGGTAGAAATGTACTTGGCATTTTATGGTGGAGGGACTCACCCTCAACTAAGTAGCACTCGCTAGGCAAGGGGCTTGGGTTCCAAAGCCCAGTGAACTCAGAGAGACTGGGAACAGGTATATGTACTTGGTAGTGTGGGGTTCCTCCTGAGGGCCCCAAACACTATTTTGACTCCTTTCTGTCTTTCCACTGTGTAATAACAGAGCTGTGTTTGACTCAATTAGAAGTCTTGTCCTATGCTGTAGAGCTGGAATCACTGATTCCTAGGTCTAAGCATTAGATCTACTTTGGGCTATGGTTCTGCTTGTGCTAGTACTGGGCCCTCCTCTACTAGCAGCTGAAATCACTAAAGAGCTGAAGTTACTCAGAGCTGAAATTGCTGTGTTAAGTGGAGGGGTTGAAGGCATATTGGTGAGTGGCTAGCAGGATGACTGGCGGAGAGGAGTAGCCAGCAGGGTGGCTGGTGGAGAGGCGTAGCTGGTGATGAAGACTGCAGCAGAACCCCATGGAGAGGCATGGCAATTAGTCATTGACCCAAGCACTAGAGCATGTAAGATGCCACCATACTTCCCCCTACTTCCACCCAGGCTCGGAGGTAAACTCTGCAGATGAACTTCTAAACTTTTGGGGCTGCACTGACCTAGAATAGGAACTGTGGGAGGGGTGACTTTTGGGTTGCTGGACTTAAGACTCTGAGGGGAAAAGGATAGTGCCAAACTTAATTGGGGATGGGTCTTTTGCTCATGGTTTGTGTTATGAATCCTGTTTGTGGTGTTTCTCCAACATAATGCCGTATTGTTTACCTCCTTTATTAAAAGGCTTTTGCTACACTCAGACTCTGCGCTTGCAAGAGGGGAAGTATTGCCTCTTAAGAGGCGCGCAGGGGGATGGTATGTAATTGTCCCAAGTCACTGGGTGGGGGCTCGAGCTGGTTTTGCATTATGTTATTGAAATGGAACCCCTAGATACTGAACCCGGCCCTTGTTGCTCCCAACTCTGACGGGCAGAAGGGTTACATACACACGTATTTGCTCTTGTTATGCACGGGTGTGGTACTGTGGCACAAGAAGTAAAGCAGTGGAAAGTCAGCCCTTGTGTGTGAGTGACTCACACTCACACACATGCATTTTCTATTACTTTTGGTCTTTTGTCTCTTCCTATGCCTTTCAGGCTCTGCCACGTTCTCTTTCCTGCCCTCTACCTCTATCTCCCTTGCTCCCCTTCCCTTTCCTTGACCGTATTATCCCCTTCTGCCCCATTTGTGACATTATGGCTAGGATTATAAATGTATCTTGTTTGGTAAGGAAGAATGTTCTAGTGCAGGGGCCCTCAATCTGATGGACTCTGGCAAGAGTATAGAAAAGTGATTATGGGAAACCTGAAAGGATCAAGCCAGTCTGAAGTAAAAGAAGGCAATGGGAGTTATCTGCCTAACTCACTTTTGTAAATTCCATTAGGTGCCTGTCTGTATCTTTTGGTACCTAAACACCTTTGTAAACCTGGGCCCCAGATATGTCATTAAACCTGCAAACTGAGGGGCATCCTAGAGCTCTGCTCTGGCGATCTGCACTATCTCTGTTTTTGGAAAGGTGAAGGAAACCCTTCAGAAGCAGCTCTTTTCAGACACATACTTGTGTCATGAGTTGTCTAGTGTTAGATAATGAACATTCTTTTTTGTAAGACACTTTCATTTTCCCCACAAGGCTGCTGCAAATTGCATGAGTGACTTTCCTAGATTCTGAGCTTTTTGGTGTCAGGAACAAAAAAGCACAAAAAGACAGCATGATTTAATTTTTTGTATGTGTTGGCAGTAAAATAACTGTCCATGTGTGCCGGCCCAAATATTACAAATACACGAGGCAATCGAGGCCAACATAGAGAGTCAGCCTAGCTCACAGCAGGGATCCAGAACAGCTTGTCGGGCAGCTTTTAGCAAAATAGCTGGGACCAGAAAGAGCCAGATTGTTTGGAGTCAGACTGAAAACTAAAATGAACCCCACCTTGATGCTCCCCAAACCACGCACAGTGAAACCATGGGCAAATTGATTTTATGTCCCATGTTTTCCATGTGTCCATGGCCATGGAATTGGACACACAGTCACGGAATCTGGCTGCAGAATACACTTTCATTCTTTTTAAAAAAAAAGTGTACTGAAGCATGGATGAGAGTTTAAATGTCAGCATTGTTAACTGCCATTACGGATCACTTTCTCAGAAAGATTTACCTACTGTGCCTATCTGTTATCTTTAGTGGCAGATATCTTTGGGGATATTGGGGCATTATTGGGGTGGGAAACAAAAGTTCATTCTATCCAAAAAGTTTCAGGTCACCTCTCCCCTTATTACACAAGGCGGAAGTAAAGAGAAAATGCAGAGCTTCTGTAATCTACTGGTCTGTGTGTATTGCACATTTCCCACTGTGTCTGATTCATAGAGCATGCAAGTCTGTTACAGTGCCCAGCTCTGGAGTCTGGATCCTATAGCTGTAGAGTCTCATGCTTTCAGCAGCGGAGGTCCCTGGTTCAATTGTCAGTGCATGGATAGAGATCATCACACTTCTGCTGCCTCTTGCAAGCTAGAATGCTAAACTGCCAGAAGCCTCAACTGCATCCTGTGCAAACCTCCAACTTTCTATTCCAACATATTCTATAATGTAGAACAGCGATGCCTATGCAAAATTTTTGTGACACAATTTGTGAGTAGTGTAAAATACTGTTAATCCCTTTTGACCTGAGCGAATAGTCAGTGTTCGGAACCCTGAGGGTGTTCCAGTTGAGAGTATAAATTGACAATAGAGTCTGGTATTTTCTTTGATACAGTCTTGTTTATTTACTAGGAATGTACAAAGTTCTGCTTCTCCAAATGCAGGAGAAACCAAAGCCAAAAGGAGAGAATTTCTTTCCTTACAACCCCTTTTCAGCCAGCACGAGACCCAGAAGCCCCCTCTCTAGATTTTTCCAGGGTCATACACCATGCTTGTCCAGAGTGTCCATCTCTAAGTCTTGCTTCAGTTTGCCTGTTCCTGTGTCTGTATGATGGGGTATATGAACCCCACATTGGGATGAAAGGGGTTATCATTAACACTGTGTGCTTGTGTAACCCATGTGCCTAATATGGAGATATCTCTTTAAGAGACCCTTTCGGTGGGGAGGTGGGAGTGAGCTGTGTCTAGGTCATTGTTGCTAGGCAGATTAAGCACTCCACATCCAGAAGCTTCTGGAATTGGGTGCGGTAGTTTTGGGTATGCTCCAATAGGTTCCCTGTTGCTGGGGTCAGACTCCATGAGGGCAAGCAGTAGGGGCAGCTGCTTTGCAAAAGGCTATGTGCCCTGGGTGAGTTGGGAGAAGCTGAGCCCAGGAGCAGGAAGCCGGCTGTTGTCCCTAACTCTGAAGCATTTTGCAGCAGGTTAGTGATATTGTTAACCCTCTAACAGGGAAGCATGGGCAATGCTAATTATAGGGAGGGAAAAATAACTTCTATTTTAATTGTATGCTTTGAATGTCTTGATTTTAGCCAAACTGTTCTAGTTAAATTGTCTCAACTAGTCTGAATCACCAACTTTTCTTTAAATGTAGAAATGGGGAAAAAGTCATTTCAGTTTTGCTATTCTCAGTTTTCTATTTTTTTGTAACAGGGTTTTCTTTAACCAAGCACTCACTTAAGTGTATAGATTTAATCAGTTAGCTGACTGGCTATCAGTGGTTTCAGCAGCGGAAGAGATTCCTACAAGCACGTGGAGGAAAGATGTTGTTTTAGACTCAGCAGACTGTGTAGATTTGTTGATCAAAGACTCTAACTGAGGGCATGCCAACACTTGCAGATGTAGAGCACTTTGAGTTAAACTAGCCTTCGGAGAGCGCAGTAGGGAAAGCGCTGCAGTCTGCCCACACTGACAGCTACAGGAGCATTGGTGTGGCCACATCAGCAGTCCTTGCAACAGCCACAGAGAGCAGTGCATTGTGATAGCTATCCCAGCATGCAAGTGGCTGCCACGTGTTTTTCAAATGGGGGGGGGGTGGAGTGGAGTGTGACAGGGAGTATGTTGTGTGTATGTGGGGGGAGAGAGAGTGGGTTTTTGGGGGGCTAAGAGCATGTCAGCTTACTGTCTTGTAAGTTCAGACAGCAGCAGACTCCCCTCCTCCCCCGCCTCTCTCTCACACACACAGCATTTCACAGTAATGGTTGCTTGTCTCGGAGCAGATAAGCAGCCGGCTGTCAGAAACGGAGCTTTCAAAGGGCATATCCACATTCCTACAGCAAGTTCAAAACAATGACAAGAGTGGCCACTTGACTTAAGGGGATTATGGGATGTTTCCAGAGGCTGATCAGAGCTCAGTAATGCAACACCTCGTTCACACTGATGCTCAGGCATTTCAGCCAAGGCGCAACAAACGTTAATCTTCTCATCAAGGTGGAGTACCAGGAGCGCTGTAGCCGTGGAGTCAGCACGTTCTATGTGCCTTGCCAGTGTGGACAGGTAGTGAGCTAGGGCGCCTGGGGCTGCTTTAATGTGCTCTAACTCACAAGTGTAACCAAGCCCTGAGACTTAGATGAACAAAACCTAAGCTTTCAGGAACTTTCAATTTCTTCTCGCTGTATTTCTGTGGGGACTGAACTGTTCAGATTTAAATTTGTTTTTTTTAATTTATGTTTATGTATAACTGTGAAGGTAATGTCTGTAGATTATAAAATAGCCATGTCATGCTATAAAAATTAGGTTATTATTCTTTATCATAAGATTTTATAAAGGTATTTAATTAAATTCATTTCTTTAGTTCCTTTTGGGACCTGGATGTTGGAAGGTTGACCCTGTACGATCCTTGCTGAAAATCCTTAGAGACTGAACTCTGGGTCTCTAGCTACTTTCTGTGGAAGTTGGTTTTGTTTTGTTTTTGTTTTGTTTTGTTTAAGGTACTGGAGACGGGAAATGAAGTGAACTCTAGCCCACCCAAACGTTACACTTGTTCTGGCTTCGAAGATATGCAGAAAGAGTGGACTCCTGAAGTTTGTTTCCTTGATGGAACAGAAATTATTTGGCACAGATGACTGACATCATTTCCTAATCTAAATTATTAACAAATATGTGTTCTTTGGAAGAGGGATACCAGATATGAAAAGCAAAGTGCATCTTCTAACTCACGGATTTAGTTCCAATTTTAGTACTCTAGTAAAACAGCTGTGATCAAACACTCTAGTCGTCCTGTGTTCCTTCCAAAATTACAAGAACCAATCACTTAAACTAAAGGTGAGTCTCTCTATTAGCTGTCAACAGTAAAGGGACTAAAGCACAGTTAGCCAGTTCTGATTCCATCCAGTACAGAGCAGTAGCATACATACATTCTCGCCAATTCGTTACACACACGTTTATTTGTACTGTCCCCAAATACGCATTTGCCATTCTGTAACTGCTTTTTTTTACCCTCGCCCTCTAGAGATGCTGTGCGTGCACTCCCAAAGCCGCCACTCTGTCGTCTCATGGGCTTCTTTAGTTCTACATGCTGAGGATGCATTGGTCATGTAGCTCTGGGAATTGGACAAGCAAAGTTGTTCCTTTTTATCCAGCTGCTCTCAAACATAAAAGAAAGCCCGCTCATATTTATACCTTGCTCTTAAATGCAAAGGGTCATATTCTTCCCTGATTTAGACCCTGTATGGTTCTGGTAACTTCAGTAGGGCTGCAAGTGGTAGAAATCAGAACAAAATTTCATCCAAAGTCTCAAGTGTTGGTTGCTAACTACCATCAGCAGTTGTCACTTATTGCTCTTGCAATAAGCACCTATCTCTTAACCCAATTGTTAGAGATCAATTGTGTCTGCAATGGCTGACCCATACTGTAGGTGCCTATCAAATTTCAATAAAGTTATTAGTACAGTCTCCTTGTCATTTTTGGTACGGGATTGTGTATGATAATCAAGTGACACAATAGCCCTAAAGGATCTGGAGCATTTCTCTTTTGCTCAAAAAACATTGTATTTGGTTCTTTTGTCAGTCTCCACTACCACCTGACCAAATTCTCTCTCTCTCTCTCTCCATTGCCATTCCATTTCATTTATATTTGGTAAAATAACTAAGATGCATAGTAAAATTTGTATTTATCTGGTGACTCAGTGAAAAAGTTTTTTTCCCAAAGGAGCTGATACGGGCCTGCTATACACCAAATGGAAACTCATGAATTATAAAGGACTGTAAATGGCTCTGGTTTTACAAATAAATTATCACATGACGAACTAGTATGACCAATAGGGTGCCTAGATATTGTGGAGAGAAGTGAGTGAGATGTGGATTCTCTGGGGAAGTAGTCTGATTCTTTGTGCAATTTGCCTGAGTGTTTCATTATAATAAAGCCATAGATAGCATATAAATGGATTTCTTTGATTCCGTCATTCCATTTCCTTTTTTTGCCAGAAACTGTGATTTTCTTATAAGCTATAAATTAGCACTGCAGAGATAGATAATTCCACATAAATACTCTGATCTGGACACTGAAATAGAAAAAATACAACTCTATTTCCAGAATCACAACTCACACTAGTTTCAGGCCAGTCAATCGTGGGTAACACTGATTTAGGACATTGTTGTATGTAAGGAACTGCAAGTTCTTGGCAGCAGGTTACTATTGTAAGCTGTTTCTTCTTTCATCATATGGTATATTATAAAACCAAAAGGCACAAATTTAAAAATCTCTGATTATTTAATCATGAAGACCGACAACTAATAAAAACCAGAATACTCTTGTGAAAGCATGTTGGGAGACTATGCAATGTAGATCAGTTTGTATCCCATTCAGAAGCAGACTGGAGAAAAGTGTGAACAGTCTATTCTATTCAGACTTGACTCACAATCCCAGAGTAGCTGGCTGATTCTTCCTCAGTTACCACAGTGAAATAGTTAACTGTACTGTAAACATGAGGATTCAGAGTTAAATTCCCATTTTCTTAACTGACTTCACACCTCTTTTAAGGATATTGTTTTTATCTGTCTGTAGTCTCAGTGTGACACACTGCATCATTCAGATGTGGAAGATTTTTCTTTACATAAAGAAGGCTTGAAAATTAAATGAAATCTTTAAATTCTTCAGAAACTGGTGGGGCCACTACAGCATTGCTAGTTCAGTGTGCTGCCCTGTATTGGCTCAATCCATATTATGTTTAGGATTTTAAAAGTGTGAAGTATATATGCCTATAGTCTAAATCAAAACCATCTGAAGGCTTTAATGACAAGATATGCATTCATGGTCTGTACATATGTATTTTTTCCAGAGCCAAGGATGTTTGCATTGCTTTACATTACAAGTTTTGCCATCTATACAAGCGGACAATCTCTTCACAACCAGCTCAAAGGAGAAAATTACTACACGAGATATATTTGTAGCATTCCTGGCTTGCCGGGCCCTGCAGGTCTCCCTGGAGCTATTGGATCACCAGGGCCCCATGGGCGTATTGGTCTTCCAGGAAGAGATGGTAGAGATGGCAGGAAAGGAGAAAGGGGTGAAAAAGGGAATGCAGGTATTGAATATTTGTGCTAACTAATGGAAAAAACAAAACAAAGAAACCAACAACCAGGATCTTCTCCTGGAACTTACTGTATTTTTTTAAATTTTATTTATCAGTGACTTCCTGAGTATAAAATACTAGCAAATATAAATGTAAGATACTGTTATGTATGTATGTAACAAAAAATGACAACTTATATCAGATTTAAACTCATAAAACAAGAACACTGAATCTCCAGGGTGAAACTTCATTATTATTATTTATTATAATTTACAATTTATTATTCATTTAGCTGAAAAAAAATTAAAAATGTTAGGGTGGAGTTAAGGTTGAGATTATCTATCAGTAACTTAAAGTTAAAACATTACAGATGTTGTAATTATCCCAAAAACAATTATAAGCACAGGAAATTCAGACTTAAGGTGAAACTTAAAAGAAATCCAAACAAGTTAAGAAAATAAATAGTTAGTGCACCCAAGCGACATTAACTTCATCCTGAAATGATACCATTTAATAACCATTCAATTAAGATTAGCGTATCATAGTTTTGTAGTTCCAGATTAGATTAAACTGAATGTTAAAGACACATTAGATATTCTGGGTTTTTTGTGTGTGTGTGCCCTAATTAAGTACTTCCAGACCTTAACATGTTTAATTTTAGGGGGTCCACTCACCTGTATAAAGTTACTCATGTGGATGGACTGTTTGCAAGATCCGGGCCTAAATGAACACACAACACAATAAGTAATAGGGGCAAACAATGTGTGGAAGATAAGAGGAAAGGAGAGTGTGTGTGTGTGAGAAAAAAAAGTTTTCATAGTTACAAATAGTAAATTATTATGTGTAATTCATGTTCCTCAAAATGCATGCACCCTTTTAAAAACTTCCTACCCTATTTGTTTCTAAAACATCCCTGGTCAGCCAAAGGACATGGTCAATATTAATGTACAATTTTCTTTATTACTGAATCACTCCAAAACTTGTCCCACCATTACCCCTTTTCTTGTTGCTTTAAATCATTTTTCAATATTTGTTTTTTAAATTTTGATATAAAATCTCACCACATTTGTGGTGGTATTGCTTCTTATTTGTTACATAAGGTCATCCTTTGTTTTGGAGACATCCCTCATGAGATTTTGATTTTAAAAAATGGAACAATATAAAATTAACGAGGCACACATTAAATGGATTAAAAATTCATCAATGAGCAGATGTGTTTCTAATGGGGTCCTGAAGGGATTGGTTCTTGGCCTTACACTATTTAATATTTTTGTCAATGTTCTAGACGAAAACAAAATCATCACTGATAAAGTTTGCAGTGACACAAGTTGAGGGAATGGTAAACAAGAAAGAGGACAGGTCACTGATATAGAGTGATCTAGATCATTTAGTAAGCTGGGTGCAAGCAAACAATATGTATTTTTAATATGGCTAAATGTAAATCTAGTAACAAAGAATGTAGACCATTCTTGCAGGATGGAGAACTCTGTCCTGGGAAGCAGTGACTCTAAAAAAGATTTGGGGGGTCATGGTGGAAAATCAGTTGAACATGAGCTCTCACTGAGGTGCTGTTTCCAAAAGGGCTAATGCGATAGTGGAATGCATAAATAGGAGACTCTCGAGTAGAAGTAGAGAGGTTATTTTTATCTCGATATTTGACCCTGGTGTAAGTGCTGTTGGAATATTGTGTCCAGTTCTGATGCCCACAATTCAAGAAGGATGCTGATAAATTCTGGTGCAGAGAAGAGTCACCAGGATTAAAGGGTTAAAAAACATCCCTTATAGCGATAGACTCTGTAGCCCAATCTATTTGCTTAACAGAAGGTTAAGGGATGACTTGATTACAGACTCTAAGTATCTACATGGGAAACAAATATTTGATAATGAGCTCTTCAATCTAGCAGAGAAAGGTATAACATGATCCAATGGCTGGAAGTTGAAGCGAGATAAATTCAGACTGGAAATAAGGCATAATACTTTAACAATGAAAGTAATTAACCATTGGAACAATATACCAAGGGTTGTGGTGGATTCTTCCTCACTGACAATTTTTAAATCAAAATTGGATGTTTTTCTAAAAGATCTGTTCTAGGAATTTGTTTTTTTTTATGGCCTGTGCTATACAGGGGGTCAGAATAGATGATCGCAGTGGTCCCTTCTGGCATCTTTGAAAACATAGGTAACTATTATAGTATAATACGTATAATATTATATAGACATAAGAAAAGTACAGTTTAATAGATTGAGTTCAGTTGAGAGGTACTGTTTAATACTTTGGTTGTCAAATGTCTATGCCATATAGCAGCGGTCCCCAGACTTTTGAGGGTCACACCCCCCATACCCACCCCAGAGCCAGGAGCGGAGCCGTGGCTTGGGGGCAGGGTGGGAGAGGCTGGAGTAGAGCTGCAGCCAGGCTATGGTGAGGGCCGGCAGCCGGGCCCATGGCCAGATGCAGCTCTGCTCCTGGCCTGGCCCCCAGCCTCAGCCCCAGGCCAGGAATGGAGCCGTGGCCAACAGCCTAGGCTGTGGGCTGGAATGGGGCTGGGAGCAGAGCCATGCTGAGGACTGGACTGGGCACCAGGCCAGGAGCCATCAATGTGTCTGGAGATGGGACCAGAACAGAGCTGGAGGCGGGGAGGAGGCTGGGTGGTGCTCCCTCCTTCCTCCCATCTCGTGGGGGCTGGCCTGGGTCCCGCCATGCCATCTCAGATGTTCCTCCACTCCCTGCTGGGGGCACGCCGGGACCTCTGCCATACAGTAACTGGAAGTTTTAAAGAATTTCCAGTCTAAAAAATATAAGCTATTTCTTGTCAATAGTGACATAACTTACTAATAGAATTTTCAAGCTCTTATGGCTATATCCTGTCATTGTTCTGCACACAGAACTTCCATTAAGAATAAATGGAGTTTTACCTTTAAATAAATAAATGCCAGATTAAGGTCCTTAGTATTAATATAACGTCTCACCCTTGTTTGACATGTGATGAATTTTATGCATTGTCAGTGCACACAAAAACAAAAATAGACATGTTTTTTAAATCTCAAATTCCATTCTAAGTGTGGGGTGTTTTTGAAAATCTGACAAGGATTACACCAAACCAGTTTAATTATATATTTAATTTTGTTCAAACATATCCAGGAGCTCATGGAATCATTTGCTTTGCCACCTACAAAAGAGATTGTGTATGTAATAATTAACTAATATAAAATGTTTTTCAAGGTTTAAGAGGCAAGACTGGACCTTTAGGAACAACTGGAGATAAAGGAGACCCAGGACAGTCTGGTAAAAAAGGACCTACAGGATTGGTTGGTGCCAAAGGCGAAGTGGGTCCCGCTGGACCACCTGGGCCTAAGGGAGATAAAGGAGAACGAGGAGAACGAGGTGTACCAGGGATCTGTAAGTGTGGAAGGATAGTGCTGAAATCTGCCTTTTCTGTTGGCATCACCACGAGCTACCCAGAAGAAAGATTACCAATCATATTCAATAAAGTCCTTTTCAATGAGGGTGAGCATTACAGTCCTTCCACGGGGAAATTTATATGTGCTTTTCCAGGGATTTATTACTTCTCTTATGAGATCACCTTAGCAAATAAGCATCTTGCAATTGGGCTGGTTCATAATGGGAAATACCGAATAAAGACATTTGACGCTAACACAGGAAACCATGACGTAGCTTCTGGATCCACGGTGATCTATCTTCAGGCAGAAGATGAAGTGTGGCTTGAGATCTTCTACACTGACCAAAATGGTCTCTTTGCAGATCCCACTTGGTCAGACAGTTTGTTTTCTGGATTTCTCTTATATGTTGATACAGATTATCTCGATGCCTTATCTGATGACGATGAACTGTGATATGGGAGATGTCAAAACTTCTCCAAACAAACTAGACAATCTGACACAGGATTTGATTTGGAGTGTATAGGAGACAAAACAATAATGATATGAACTGCAATTTTATTTTTGTTTTGATGGGACCACAAATCGAATGTGGAAGAAGGTTTCCAGCCTCTATGCAGGACATTTTACCAAAGAGCAGGGATAATAAAATTAATAATATACTAATGAATGACTGTCACTCCAGACCTGCATCCTCTTAAAGATTATGTTTATAATAATATTTAAACAAATTTAAGATAATGTACATCAAATTTTATATAAAAATATATTGAGTTGTGAAGTGACTGATAGAGTGATATTGACTTATTAAACCTCTGGATACTTTGTATTTGTTATTAAAGGAAAATTGAATGCCTGACATCACTAACAGCCTTGGTCATTCTAGGGAGGTAACTATTTAAGAGATACATGTGATAAGAAATTTAGAAAGTAGAATGAAATAATACAGTAATGGCCATTTGAGAGTGATGGACCTTGGAAAGACCATTACTTCACTTCAGTCACATACCAACACTAACAAAAGACATATAGAGCCAGGTGACTTCTGAATGGAGCCAGGCAGATTTACACCAGCTGAGAATCTGGCTCAATTACATTAATTAAAAGGAGACCAGAACCAAGGGTCTGTATTCAATAAATTGATTAAAAATTGACTAACTTAGTGAACTCAAAAAGTAATTGTAAATGGGGACTCGTCATCCAGTGTGGGTGTTTCTAGTTCAGGCCCACAGGGATCTGTTCTTTCCAAATGTAAGATATAAAATCACCCCTGGCAAAGTGTGCAGATGACACAAAAATCAGTACAGTAAAAATAATGATTAGGATAGTTCTACAGAGCAATTTGGATCCAATGATAAGTTGGGCTTACCTGAACAATATACATTTTAATACAGACAAATGCAGTGTCATAAATTGGGGCGGTGGTGTGTGTGTGTGAAGGTCGGTCACATTTGTAGGATGGGGAACTGTCTCCTGGAAAGTAGTGACTCTGAAAAGGACTTTGGGCTACGATGGATAATCAACTGAACATGAGCTCCCAGGGCAATGCTGTGACTAAGAGGGCTAATGTGATCTTGGGATGTATAAGCAGGGGAATATCAAATAGGAGTAGGAAGGTTGTAGTACTTCTGTATGCCGATGAAACCATTTCTTGAATACTGTGTCCAGTTCTCGTGTCAACACTTCAAAATAAGATATTGGTAATTGTCAAGGTTCCTTCCCCACTCTGAACGCTAGGGTACAGATGTGGGGACCTGCATGAAAACCTCCTAAGCTTACTTTTACCAGCTTAGTTTAAAACTTCCCCAAGGTACAAACTATTTTACCTTTTGCCCTTGGACTTTCGCTGCCACCACTAAACATCTAACCGGTATTATTTTATTAAGAAAGAGTCCGTTTGGAAACGTCTTTCCCCCCAAAATCCTCCCAAACGTTACCCCCCCTTTCCTGGGGAAGGTTTGATAAAAATCCTCACCAATTTGCATAGGTGAACACAGACCCAAACCCTTGGATCTTAAGAACAATGAAAAAGCATTCAGTTTCTTAAAAGAAGAATTTTAATAGAAGAAAGTAAAAAGAATCACCTCTGTAAAATCAGGATGGTAAATACCTTACCGGGTAATTAGATTCAAAACATAGAGAATCCCTCTAGGCAAAACTTTAAGTTACAAAAAGACACAAAAACTGGAATATCCATTCCATTCAGCACAGCTTATTTTCTCAGCCATTTAAACAAACAGAATCTACCGCATATCTAGCTAGCTTACTAAGTTCTAAGACTCCATTCCTGTTCTGTCCCCGGCAAAAGCATCACACAGACAGAGAGAGAGGCTTTGTTTCTCCTTCTCCCCAGCTTTTGAAAGTATCTTGTCTCCTCATTTGTCATTTTTGTCAGGTGCCAGTGAGGTTATCCTAGCTTCTTAATCCTTTACAGGTGAAAGGGTTTTTCCTCTGGCCAGGAGGGATTTTAAAGGTGTTTACCCTTCCCTTTATATTTATGACAGTAATACTGTAGGAGCAGCAGTGATCTGTATGCTCTGTATGACTATGCTATGTATAACCTGTATGCCCAAAAAGTCTGCTACACTTCCCCCCCATTTTCTCTCCGCTCCCTCTTTGAATACCTGTGAAGTGGCCTTCCCCCTCCCTCCTGGAATGCTTGTGGGATGAATGGGCTGGTTGAACAGCTAGAAGATCAGAAGAGCTCCTAGGTAGACAAGGTTTCTGGGACTCTAATTAGTCAGCGATCACACACCCAGTGCATGGACACTGCATGGACGCTGTCCGAGGTGGAGTGTGACCAACCAGACGCGGCCAAGTCATCTCTAGTCGCAGGACATGAGGAGCAGGTCCTTAAAAGGGGAAGGGGCCATGTGCTCAGGAGTGCACTCACAAGCTTGTACCTCCTGTGAAGACCCTTCGCCCGGACTGCCAGGCCAGTGGTTCATCGCGTTGCGTTCCATCGTGCCTCAGGAAGACTTACCTTCATCGCACCGTCTGTCGCTGTGCTGTGGGACACTTACTTTGAAGGATCCTGACATCTCCAGTGCTGTGCCTGTCCTGGGAGCGTGAGTATGCGAGTGTAAGTGTGACACCCCCCCACACCCTTCTTTTGAGCTTAGCTATCAGTACAATAAACGTGCTGCTTTTTGCCAAATTCTGGTGGGTCATTAGTCCTCCCTAAGCTAACTAGCTGGCCTAATTTCAGGTAACATTAATGGTGGAGAATGTGGGCAGCTTAGTGGAGGATTTGACCCAAGAGTAGGGGTCTCTTAGTGCCCCCCCCGGTAGTCTCTTGAGTGGGTCCGGCTCGAGTCTGTAAAAAGTGGTAGGCTAGCAACCCACTGCAGGGAGAAAAGGATGCCACTGTTAAGTATGCCAGTGTAGGGAAAGGGAGAGAATTAGGTGTAAATCCCCTGGTGCCCCCTGGTGGTCTCTTGGGTGGGTCCAGCTCGAGCCTGCGTGAAAAAGTGGTAGGCTAGCAACCCACTGCAGGGAGAAAAGGATGCCGCTGCTAAGTATGCCACTGTGAGGCAAGGAGAAGGAAAAGGCAAAGCAGCCCGAGCGAGAAGACACACCCCTTGTGGAGCGGCGCCACCGCCCGGGGTGTTAGAATGGCTCCAAAAGAAAGGGGCAGACCCCTGGATGCCAGGGGCAGTTCCACCTGGGAGTTTTCATGAGTTGGAGAAGGAACGGGATTATGTGGAAGGTGCAGGTTCTACTGCGGAAGTAGAGAATGCTGCTCTGAGCCACACAGTTACCTACCTGAAGGATCTGGTTCTGGAGGGGTCTGCCCAGGAGAACAGGGTCTGGGGGGCTTAGTCATCCTGGGCCGCCACCATTGGAGTGAAAGCCCGGGGGGGGGGCACGGGACCATATGATGATTGGGACAGGGATATCTGGTATGATCTGGATCCCCCGGATCCGGACTCCAGATGGCCGGACCCCAGACACCATACTGCGGTGGTCCAGAGGATGGTCCGAAACTATGGGCCTGCACCTGCAGGAGGCGGGGCATCCCCAAGTACCAGACACCCTGTGGCAGAGACCAAGTTGGCTCCCACGCAAGCAATAGAGTTAGCAAAAACCCTGGGTGGCATAGATAAAACCCCAGAGGGAAAATGGGTACACCGCAGACAACTCAAACAAGCAGGGTCTGCCGCAGTGGGAGCACTGTGCTAATTTATTTCTAAGCTTCTATCTTTCAGCCTCCAAACTGGAACATCAGAAGAGCTGGTATCAGCTGAAAAGTTACAGAAATACTATGGTTATAGTGTCGCGACAAAGTCTGTGTTCAGTGTTCTGTGTTGCATGTTCTGTGTCTGTCTCTGGTGGGTGTCCTGTGCTAGCACTGGGTCCAGAGAGAGAGAGGATACTACACTAGGTTAAATGCCTTTTCCTCTCTCTACTTCCCCGATCTCCAACCAAATTATCAATCACATCCACCTCTGTCCAAAAGACTTTGGTCCCCAAGGCATCCCGTTTATTTTTGTTAGGTTCTCTAATAATCATTTTGTTGATTTTTGTTATTGACACATTTGTATTGTTAGTTACATTTTCTTGTATTGTTAATTCCACACTTTCCTCTATGCACCCTGGTTCTACTTCCCCAAGTTCATGGGCTCCCATCAGGGCCGGCTCTAGCTTTTTTGCTGCCCCCCCTCCCGCACTTTTTTTTTTTGGCCTTTACACATGGGATCTGCCAGCTAGTGCTGATGGGACAGGGGCCAGGATGGCTGGCTGGGTGGGATGTGTGATGCTGGGGGGGGCCTGCCCCACATCGGGTCTCTCCCCTGTGGTGTGCCTTGGCCCCGGGGTTGTTGGCTGTGGGAGGGAAGGACACACACAAGACAGACAGACAGACACCAAGCCCACGGAGCGCACTAACCGGCACATACACCACTTGACCCACCTTTGCCACCTCCCGGGTGCCGCTTCCCAGCCGGAAGCCCTTGGACCAGACCCAGAACTGGAACTTGCCTTTCTCCCCCCCACCGGAGCCGGTGCCCGAGCCGGCACCCCCCTGCAGCACCTCAGCGATGCACTGGTACTTGCTCCAGGTCACAGTCTTGGTTTTGGCTGAGTCCCCGTAGGTGCGGAGGCACCAGTCCCGGAACTGCCGCCCCAGCTCACTGTCCCCGGGGCGGCTACTCCGCAGCAGAAGTGGGGGCTTCGACATCCCGGATGGAGGCAGCGCCCGACCCCCTGTCCCGAGCTGGAGATGGCAGCAAGCCCGGCCGGCCCCTGCGCTGTGCCCTGCCCAGCCCAGCTGGTGGGAATGGAGTCAGGATGGGTGGCGGGGACAAGTCCCTGGGAGGGGCCGCTGCGGGGCAGGCGTGGAGGAAGTGCGGCAGCCGGACAGTGATCCAGCAAGCCGGGCAGAGGGAGGCAGCAGCGATGCCAGCAGCAGCTGCGCCTGTCACAGATTCACAGTCGGCTCCGGCTCATCCCCTTCCCTCCCCCGGCCCGGCCCAGCCTCCTCCGCCCCCCTCCAGCCGCCTCCTCCTCGCTGCGGGATCCCACCTGTTAGAGCTGCGATGCGGCCGCCCTTACCTCCTCGCCCGGCCCGGGGGCACAGGGTTCCGCGCTACCTGCCTGGGGCCAGACCACAGGCAGAGTCGCATGGGGGCTGGGCAAGGCAGCACATGGCTGGGCAAGGCCACCCCTGCAAATCATAGAATCATAGAATATCAGGGTTGGAAGGGACCCCAGAAGGTCATCTAGTCCAACCCCCTGCTCAAAGCAGGACCAATTCCCAGTTAAATCATCCCAGCCAGGGCTTTGTCAAGCCTGACCTTAAAAACCTCTAAGGAAGGAGATTCTACCACCTCCCTAGGTAACGCATTCCAGT